GAACATCGTTAGAGAACCCACTCGTGAAACTCCCCGCTGTCCGAATGGTACTATAATTGATCTCATTCTGGCTGACCCTACCCATGCAACTGTAGCTACTGTCGTACCTCTTGATATCAGTGATCACAGTGCCGTGGAGTGCAATATCCAGGTCGATGTTCCCCGGACTACACGGCAGGCCCCAAGGCACATGAGAAGAATCCATAAGATAGACAGTACCGCGTTCCGTCATGATATCTGTGAGGCCAACCTACATGACTTTTCTGACTTCAATGATGTAAATATCATGTGGAGAGAATGGCATGCCAAGTTTATGCACGTTATGGATAAGCATGCCCCCCTATGTAACTCAAAGCCTCCCAGACAGTCCACACCACGGTGGGTAGACGCAGAACTACACAGGCTAATGCAGCGAAAACGTCGCATTCATAAACGTTGGAGACAGGACAAAACGAATGGAAATCTTCACACTGAGTTCAAACGAGCACGTAGCATTGCTCGGAACGCTTCTCGGCAAAAGAAAAATGCGTACTTCGCCACCCAGTGCAAAGAGAATGCTGGTAACCCAAGAAAGTCTTGGGAAATTCTCAATGCCGTGACAGGGCGCTCACGGCCACAGGGCGGTCTGTAAGATAATCGGGGGGAAAACCGGGATCGGCGGGATCGACTCGCCGAACTGTCAAGTAATTCCAACGACCAGGGTCGCGTACGAACTTGCCGTGCCGTGTGTAGAGACTAGATGTTTTAAACCCATGCTGGCTCTGTAGTACAGTGCGTGTGTGTGTACGTGTGTGTGTGTGTACGCGTGTGTGTGTGCGTGCGTGTGCGCGTGCATGCGTGTGTGTGTGTGTGTGTGTGTGTGTGTGTGTGTGTGTGTGTGTGTGCGTGCACGTGTGTGTGTGTGTGTGTGTGTGTGTGTGTTTGTGTGTATGTGTGTGTGCTCTGTTGCAGTGCTTAGGTGCATGTATGTGTATGTGTATGTGCTGCACACTGTCACACAAAGTTCATTGCCATGCCCTGGCACATTGAATGGCTCAGCCGCCGATTGTCTTGAGGCGGCGCTGCTGCGGAAAGCTCTCGGAGCCATGGCTATACGCCGACTGTGCAGGCTAAAGTTCCTCTCAGTGTGTTTGAATACCAAGCCAGCTCGGAACCGCACGGACAGCGGAACTTGCGACATGCTGAACCAACCTCTTCACTCTGACTAATCATCGAATCTGATTTCTTGTCGCTATTTTGGCCGTCTCTGAAGAACGCCCAACTTACTACTTGCAGAAACAAACGGAACGGAAATACAGAAATGACAAGCTACTGCTAAATCTACAGGCAAAGGTGAATTTGACTACTTTGAGTACGTTTGTATAGGAATAACATAGTTTGTGAAATCATGCCTGTGCGGCTAGGCATATAATGTCCCAGGTGCTTACACACACTTTAGTGTGGCTCAGGGCTCTGGACACAATGGTAATAATTTTGCTGCATGCTCTAAGCTTTACCTAATGAATCTACTTGTAGCAATGATTTATATGATTTCTAGTTTCTAACGCTGAGCCGGTCTGCCCCATGCGCGCAGCATCTGCTGTGCAGAATCTATCATGTATGCCTAGCTTCAAAGTTCCTTTGTGGTTCTGGTATAATCCAGTATGCTCAGTCTTGATGAACCGCTGTGGTGCAGTGCCGGGACTGAGTTTGCACGGATGAGGCAAATGAAATCCGAAATGTCTTACAATTCCCTGGCTCTGAATGCTATGCCACGGCCTCCTGTACACGAGGTACTAGTAGTCGAACCGGTGCGCAGCATTGACAGTGTACATTGGCATACGGTGCGGATTTCGCTTGCCCCAGGTTTGACCTCCGGCAAGCGAAATCCGACGCACCCTGCGCCACCGGGTTTCAAGAGATCAGTTTGTTGGTCGCCTCCGCACATGTGTGCTGACTGTGGTTGCTGTCCGTCTGGTACTGGTCATCACAGGGCCCTCACTCTTCACAACAGTACTTGGATTAACTCCCCTCCTGTATACAGGTACCGGTACACATAATACTGTCCCCGGGGAAAATTGCGATTCCGCGGCCGCGTTTTTTTCCGCTTTTTTGCGATTTTTTAAAAGACCGCGTTTTCCGCGATTTTCCCGCGTTTTTTGAAATTTTGTTGCACTACACGTACACACAGTGCACTGATTCGGTCAGCAACGTCTCATCGTGGCGGCTTTTTACTCAAATATGACGAGTGCTTACACCAGATACTAGTACTTGATTGATTTCACTACATACTCACTGAAAATTGCCGCACATCAATATTATTCCCCGCATATTTACCGCATATTCACCGCAAATTATGCCATATTATGCCGCGTTTTTCCCCGCGTTTTTTCCGCAATTTTCCCCGGGGACAGATAATATCAAGATTATAACCCACTTATATACTCTTGATAATACATGTACTTCTTTTGAAGTACCAGGTAACAACAACAAAAGTCATAATATTATTATTCCTTTTGTGTGGCCTTAGGTACATAATACATGACGTATATAATAAATGTAGAGCCGAAGGATTTATTGCAATTACATACCAGTATAAAAACCGAGGTCCCCCGAGGTTTTTATAACTGGTATGTAATTGCAATAAATCCTGAGGCTACTACATTTATTATGCATATGTTGACCTTCTCTTTCCCTAAAAAGGAGTATTTTATAAACAGTATTTATTGGCCTTAGTGGTATTTTATAAACAGTATTTATTGGCCCAAAAGCCAATAAATACTGTTTATAAAATACCACTAAGGCCAATAAATACTGTTTATAAAATACTCCTTTTTAGGGAAAAGTGCAGTGCTGCATCGAAAAGTGCAGTGGTATTTATTGAGTCAAGCAAGTTTATTTGAATTTGATACTGTTGATGGTGTGGTCACTAATGAGTGTGGGTATTTATCAAAGGTCGATATATTTACATGTACTAAGAGTTTCATGGTAAAATCAATCATCAGACGGCAACATAATAATTATTATGTACCGTAAAGTCTTGTATAAAAGCCTCGGCTTCTATGACTTTCTTGGTGAAATTTTGCAGGCTTCTATTATAAGACAGGCTTCTACACAAGACAGGTATTTCTATGTACATGTATGTCAACACTAAAACCAGGCGTATGTGTTATTTGAGGGGCCCAAACTTGCGGCTTCTATTCAAGTGCGGCTTTTATACAATACTTTATGGTATGTGCAGGGCTACCTGGTTTAGTGTAGAACTGTTTTTAGAATCAACACAAGTCTCTTGAAAGCACCCATTTCATGCAGAATGTGTACCGTGCAGGTGACGTATTTAAAAAAAAGAGAGTAAAGTTCGCGCGTCCGCGTTACAACCGGCATGTCCACAATTGCATGTCCACAATGATATAGTGCATCGACGGTCAATACCGGCATGCTCACTCACCATGCCTGCACTGCAGCAATCTGTCCCCGGGGAAAATCGCGGAAAAAATCGAAAAAAACGTGGGGAAAACGCGGCATAATATGGCATAATTTGCGGTGAATATGCGGTGAATATTATTGATGTGCAGTTTGCAGTTGATATGAGGCAATTTTCAGTGAGTATGTAGTGAAATCGATCAGTTACAAGTCTCTGGTGTAAGCACTCGTCATATTTGAGTAAGAAGCCGCCACGATGAGACGTTGCTGACCGAACAGTGCACTGTGTGTACGTGTAGTGCAACAAAAAAGTTCAAAAAATGCAGGAAAATCGCGGAAAACGCGGTCTTTTAAAAATTGCAAAAAACGCGGAAAAACGTGGCTGCGGAATCGCGATATTCCCCGGGGACAGAGAACGTGTCTAACCAGTTACCAAGTACTACAGGTGAAGTCCAGTGGAATGGTCTGGACCTGCGCCCTGCAATGTGTACAGTCACTATGCGGAGGCACGCTAACCATGCTAACTCTACACAGACATACCGTATTTCCACAAATAGTAGGCCGGTCTACTATTTTTTCAACCTCGTCCTAACCCGGCCTTATAATCGAGGACGGTCTTGTATTCGAGGACGGTCTTTTATTCTTTCAACCCAGTTTGACCCCGGTCTTCTATTTCTCGCCACACAGTTTACCCCCGTTCTTCCATTTTCTTCTACACAGTTTGAGCACAGTCTTCTATTTTTTCCCACAGTTTGAGCACGGTCTTCTATTTTTAACACAAGAACAAAGACTCGTTTCGGTCTTCTAATCGGAGACGGTCTTTTATTTTTTCAATCGGACCCTGCCCCGGCCTTATATACGAGGAAGGCGTTGTAAACGAGGACGGCCTTTTATTTGCGGAAATACGGTAATAGCTAGAGAGCAGGGAGTCGTAAAATACCGGTATTTTACGACTCCCTGCTAGAGAGTTCATCACAGAGAAACACACCTAAATTCATGGTGAATGTGCACCAGATGTACTGATACATAATACGTCATACCTTGGCCTTGTGTATACAATGGTAGATGGAGATGGTCCATTTCTGACATTTTTGGCTGCATGGATCCGTATATACACACCATAAAAGGGAGCACGTGTCCTGCACCCTCACTGGAATTGAAATGTTTTGTATACATTCGTACACACATCTGCAAGGCCAGCAACCGACCGGGTGCGTGCACATTTTCCTGGATTTCAATGTCCACAACTGCACCATACTAACGTTATTGATCATATCACAGCTATGGACATCGACATCAACACACACACACATGCACACACACGTACACACACGCACACACACACTGACCTTTGACGCCCATCGCCGGAGGCGATGATAGCAATGCTACGGCAGAAGCCATAGCAACTTGTGCTGGGATTACACCATTCAACAGCTTGCAAGGCTGAAGAATTGACCGTCACTATTCAGCCTGGTCTACACCATACAGCTATTTGGAGTGACATTTTCTGGCCCACACACACACACACACACACACACACACACACACACACGCACACACACACACACACACACGCACACACAGAGAACAGAAAAAGCTGATCTGGAAACATCCGGGTAACAAAAAATATATATAATAATCACAGCCAAACAGCACAATATCTAGTTGAAAGAATTTAAAATCAAGGTTGTACAAATTACCACTGCTACCAAATAACCAGTGAGTAAAACTATTAGCAGAGAAGCACACACAGCAGACCGACATACGACATAGGGCCTGCAATGCAGCAAGACCAGCTTTGGGATCAGAACAGTGGTTCAATTACAGTGCTGGCCAAAGAAATCCAACACCTCATGAATAAAATAGCATTGCCGGGCGCTACGCAGCCCTAGCACTACACATACTGGTCTGTGAACTCGAACGCGGCGCTACTCTTTTCATCAGGCTGGATTTCTCTGCCAGTGGCTTTTGTCACAGCACACAGCAGTATGGGCGGCTTGAGAGGGCCGCTCTCCGATGCATAGGCCCAAGCAGTGGGCACATCGAATCGGTGTTTGCTCCGAGATCGAGTTCAGAATGCACCCGCCTCAAGAAACGGCGGAACACACCATCATAAATAGGGGGGATGGGACGGTGCGGAGAGCCAGACTGGCTCGCACACCTCGATCAATTCTCGTTCAATATGCGTGCACACACCCGCACACACCCGCACACACACCACACACACATACACATGTGCATGCACGCTCGCGCGCGCAAACGCACACACACACACACACACATGCACACACACACACACACACACACACACACACACACACACACATGTGCATGCATGCTCGCGCGCACAAACGCACACACACACACGCACAGTGCCGGGTTGCGGATGAAATTGCAAGCGGCGGCGGTGGGTTAGCAGAAGATGCAGCCGTGAGCCTAGCTACAACCTACACGACACCACTAGACCATGGAGGGACTCTCGCTCAGCTTATTGACAACAGTGCGAATGCCGGGCAAATTGAGCAGGTTGCCGATGCCCGGGATACGACGAAGGAAGTTGATCACCACTGGGAAGAAGCCGCTGAAGAGAATGAAGAAGCCGTACGCCTCCACACACATACCTATGATCGGCCAGCCAAGCAGCACGATCAAGATCCCGCCGAAGAAACAGCCAGAACCGCGCAGCTTGTGCTTCTGGAAGAAGAAACGAAACGTCCGCTCCAGGCCGATGACAAATCCCAGGCCAGCCAGAAACAGAATGTTACCCATGGCCAGCAGACCTTTGTCGAACATCATCAGCACGCCGAGGAAGATGAAAGCGATGCCGAATCCCGACAAGCCAATGCCAATCTTCTGATAATCGCTGATTGCGGGAAACATGGTGCTAGCTGTTTCCTCCTGACCACACCAATATCACCACTGTTGCTTTAGCACTGAATAGCTGAGTGTCCAACGACACGATCGGGATCAGCTGCAAAATTATTGATAAACTCCGCAAATTATTATTTGCACCTGGAAAATCCTAATGGATTTCTGGCGCACAAACCAAGGCCGAGCAGAGACGGTCAATAGTTTCCAGCACAGAGCAGGATACACTAAATTCAGCTTCAGCTACTGCTTCCACTCCAGCACTGGCTCTCAGGCGATTGTGCAGACAATGAAATTCCTGAATGAAAGCGTCTGAAATTGTCAACTTCTAATTCAAAAAATCCTGGAACGGACGCTCAGACTTGAACATCGGCCGATAAAAATTTGAGGCAGTGTGAGTCACAGCTTCTGCTGGTCCAAGGGGTAGTGAGAACTCCTATTTCTGGACGTTCACACCAAAGAAATCATTGGACGACTGGGATGTTTTCATTGTTCAACATTCGAACATTTCCCTCATCTGCAGCACTTGCAGAAAAAAATCAAGGTACGGTTTTAGCGGTAAACCGTCTGGTGTGGCGGAAACCTACCGTGAATAAGTTCAAAACCATGAAAGTTCATAATAAAACCATCTGTCCTGAGTTGACGCCACGTGAAAACTAGTGGTTGCCCTGGGTACAGAATATGGCGACCCACGCGCGCGATATATTCGCGTACAAAACGTCAAAAGATTGTGCGCAGGGAGTCGTCAAATACCGCAAAAGGGTCATTTGACGACTCCCTGATTGTGCGACGCCGATGCTGGTCCAGGCCAGCATTGCTGCGCTGGGTCACTTTTGAGTTTTGACAGTTTTGTACCCGCAGTCCCGCAGCGTACCGGTGGTCACGCACCTTCTTGTACACCTGTCGTCCGAGAAGTTTTTGTTTGGCCGCGCGAGATCATGATCTTTTCGAACGCGGTACATGTCATGTAGCAGCTTCCTTTGGAGACGAGCCTCGCATGCAGTCAGCGAGAACAAGGCTAAAGTTTGACACGTCGCTCATTTGACTTTGTTCAAAACTCTTTGTTCGCAGTCGAAGTCCAGTCCTGTTTGTACTTACTGTATGCACCACTCGAGTACTCCTGGTTGTACAGGTATTTATTCATTTTAAAATTGTCTTGTTGACGACTGCGTCCTCTTGTTTGGATGTCGTACTGAGGACATCTCCGGTCCATTTTTGGAAGCTCAGGCTCGCATACGCGTATATACGTATGTTCGTGAGCTCCATGCTGCTGGCTTGCTGAGGGGAAGTTTGAAGGAGTGAGAGGATGTCGAGCGAGACCGGGGAGCGCAGCAGAACGCTGCGCAGTCCATCTGCATCTGGTGATAGTAAATCCATTGCAACGGGGCCACGACACCTCGTGTGCGTCATTCTCGTCGCAGGACACGGGACGATTCTTGAAACGGACATCAAGGTACATATTCCTACGATTTATTTTGGTGAATACAATTATAAGATTCATGTACATGTAGAAGTGAACTCAACTGAGAGCTCGAAATACTGGAATTTTTTTTACATTTCTTTCGAAACACAGGAAATTAGTGGCATGGCACTGCATAAATGTATTTTTGTTTTAATGCGCTATTAGCAAACCATAGGATGGCACCATGCTCATGGCCGCAGGCAATTCACGTGCTCGCGGTTGGACTTTAAACTGGCTCTGTGCTCCCATTGCCCGGCATTTGAGGGCTTGCTGACTTCTCCTGGCAGTCCGCCTATTTTTAATTTGCTTAAAAGTTAAAACTTAAAAGCATGATTCACGGTATCACTTTCTTTGGTGCGATGTGTGACGTGCAATACATCCGACGAGCTACATATATACGACACAGATCTACAAATACTTCGAAGTATGCTCTTCCATATATGGAAGGGACAGAGGTGAGAGTACAGTACATGACCCCACGCACACTTGGTAATGGGAGGTTTGCTTTGAAGGTGGCCATCACCATTTTGGCGCCAACTAAGGCTGCGTTTACACGACAACGCACGGCCAGTTTTCCGTTTTCAGTCCCGCATTTCTTTTTTCGTTTTTGTACGTTTACACGATCAAAGCCGATCCGAGGTGGTCTCCGTTTGTATCGTTTTCAAGCGGCTACACGAGAGTAAAGGATCCGCCAAAGTTCGTCATGTGCCAAGTGTTGCCGTGGAAGCACCAATCACACTCAAGTAATGGTTGAAAACAGGCACACGACAACACACGTCACATGACGAAAATTGTAAAAACAATTTTTTTGGATTGTCGAATCCGTGTAAACGGCCGAAAACGAAATAAACATGACGGAAAACGAGGCCAGCACACCGTTTCGACTGTTTACACACCCAAATTTATCCGGCAGAACATTTCCGTTTTCAAATTCTTCCACCTTGGCCAGCGTTTTGGTTTTCTTCCGTTTTGGTGTACAACTTTTACGTTTTGCTCCGCGTACCGTGTAAATGAACCATGGATCCGAAAGGATTTCGTTGCGTTTTCGCCCCCAGCGTTGTCGTGTAAACGCAGCCTAAAAGTCCCTGTCCCCGCAGGTTAACCATGATTCCGCGTTCTTGATGGTTTCCATCTGCTTTTTCTAGAAATTTGTTTAGAGCCTGCATGTTTAGTGAGAATGTACAAGAAAATGGCGCTTGATGGTGAAAGTGTGCTGCAAAGTTGTCCATATACACAAGAGTTGTACTTCATGCATCATGCAAGCACATGTGGAGTCCAGAAACGTACAATGCGTCGTACGTTTCCATGAATACCGTAAAGTACCGTTGATCCCCCCACGCCGTGTCGCTTCCCGGGTGGTTTGTAGGCAAGGGCGGAGATCAAGTCGTTCAAGTGCCGTACAATGTACTGTCCCCACAGAATAACCCGGACGAAATCCTAAAATTATGCGCATAATCATGCGGGCAAAAACAGGCAAATACGCGGTATAATGCGGTTATTATGCACAAATTCTCTCTCATTTGTACAACTTTAGCATGCAGTTTCCTGCAAGTATACTACTTTGTCGTACAAACTCATGCACCGGTACGACTTTGTAGTACATTTTCAACATATATAACGCGGGTTTTATGCAAAATCTCTCGAAAACGCGGATGACAGCCAATAACGCGGAAAATAATTGCGCGGCCGTGGAATCGCGGTATCCTGTGGGGACAGGATGTACAACAAAGCAGAAGATCAGACCTGGCATGCTGGATTGTGCACATTTTTCACCCGGCACTCGCACGCATATTGTTTACAGCAGTGCATGCGTCGGTCCGACATCGTATTTTGTTGTATACGCCGACGTCGCTTCCCAGGCAAAAATTCTACAGGGGGCGGGAGTTAGAGCGGGGGCGGATCAACGGTACTTTACCGTACTGGTGCCTGTATGTACGACAAAGTGTCTGGACTTGAGAATGTACAATAAAGATGCAGCCATTGTGCAAGGGTGATCTGTGATTGTAGTGTGTCATCTGCACAATTTGTTTTGGACGAAATGGGTGCTTTGAGTTTCAAGTGTAGTGTTGTTGATTCGTGGATCTAAAAACATTTTTTGATTTGTGGATCTAAAAAGCAAAACAACAACAGAGCAACACCCATTTCGTCCTGTAGGTTTGCACGCACGCTGTATGCACCTCACCACTGTGCAATGGGCCTATTCTAGCAGTGCAGGGGTGTTGGACACGCTACCGTACCACTCATTGCCCCGGGTACCCCGTAAATCAATACACCCGGGCCTGAACATTTTTTTGTTGATATGACAGTGTGTACTGTGTCGGCATTGTGTATTGTGTAGAATGACTGCAGTGGCAAGTACAGAGACATGCAGGGTGTTCCCAAGGCCTTGCTACCGGGTGTGGGTGGCAAGTCTATCCTGGATTTCTGGTGGTCAGCCATAAACACGTGAGTGACAGTGTGTGTGCGTGCATGTGTGTGTGGTTGGGTGGGTGCACATCCAGTGCATTTCCAGATTTGCGTGCTTCTCTTGCGACAGGCGTATTCATGGTACACATAATGTGTCTGGTGTAGGTGTGTTGGGGTTTTAAATCTGCATTCTCACGATGGCCTGTGTTGTTGTTGTTGTTGTTGTTGTTGTTGTTGTTGTTGTTGTTGTTGTTGTTGTTGTTGTTGTTGTTGTTGTTGTTGTTGTTGTTTGTTTGAAATCTTTTATTCTCACGATTGTTGTTGTTGTTGTTGTTGTTGATGGTGGTGATGATGATGGTGGTGGTGGTGGTGGTGTTCTTGTACTTAGTCTCATTCTAGTTCTCATTCTAGTTCTTGTTCTTGTTCTTGTTTTTCAAATTCCTGTGTGTACCTGTGTGTATGTGCAGTCGTCAGATCTTCAGTGAGGTGTTCTTGGTCACAAACGCTAACAAGTACAAGCATTACGAGCGCTGGGCCACTGCCAACGAATTCCCTGTAGAAAATATCATCAACGATGGCTCTACCACACATCAAACAAGGTATGTGCTGCTGATGGTAATTTTCCGTCCTTTACTATGCTCGAATATGCACAAAGAGGGGGCTTTGATATCAGGAGTCGGGTCCATTCGAAGGCAAATGTTTG